AGACTTTAAGGTCAGAAGGGACCAATATGGTCATCTAGTCTGACCTCCCGCATGATGCAGGCCACAAAAGCTGACCCCCCCACTTTCCCTTAACTCTGCTGTTGAAGTCTCCAGATCGTGATCTAAAGACTTCAAGTTGCAGAGAATCTTCCAGCTTGCGACCCCTGCCCTATGCTGCGGAGGAAGGCGAAAAACCTCCAGGGCCACTGCCAATCTACCCTGGAGGAAAATTCCTTCCCGACCCCAAATATGGCGATCAGCAGAACCCCGAGCATACAGGCAAGATTCTCTAGCCAGACCCTCATTTTACCAGCGATGGCCGTTATTGCCTAATTGACTAAAATGTTAATGAGTAACCCGGTAACAATGTATAATGTGTGTGATTTTGGGAAAAACCTGTAACAGGAGGTTATTGCTAGAAACGGTTATTGGGAAAACACCGCAGGTTAAAAAGCTTTATGCTACTAATGCTTCTCAGCTATTACCTATGAATACATACATAGAGCTTGGCACAGCGGAGAAACATTACAAACCCGGTCTGCTGTATAAAAAGGGAAACTGAGGCATGAATTTCATGACTGAGCAGTGGGATGATCCCCTGCCTATAGAACAAAACACAGGAAAGTATGGGGGCAATTCCTCTGTTTGCCTGCCGCCAGCAAGGAGATCTGTAAAAGGAAGGGGTATTTTAAGCAATAATCTGACACCTCCTAAAGGGGGTAGAAAAATATTCTTTTTGTCTTTCAGAACTTCAGGAAAAGCTGGCGCCAGCTGAAAAGCAACCCAGAATACCATCACCACAGTAGATCCATGAAGATGGTGCTGCGTGTGCGTCTGTCTGTCTTGTGGCTAGCGTTGTGTATTGTGTTAAAAAGGGGGACACTGCGTTAGGCAGGAAAGGATTAATGAGCACTTGAGCGGTATTTATAGAAAGGAACGTTGCAGAGGGGCAGAGGCCAAGGAACACCCACGGCTGGTGAAGGATGGTCGGCCGGAAGGAGGGGGCTGCTGGACTGGGGGGCAGAGAGCAGCCGGAGCCCATCGGGACTGGGACAGACCCAGCTGGATGGTGCTGAGAGTGGCCAGGCCCAAGGGCTGGGTTCAGATGTTCAATAACCCTCCTGTGTGACGCTGGCTGAGTCCCTGCAGGCTGGAGAGCGGGGGCATCGCTCCTCTGGGGGTGGGGGCCCACGGCGAGAGACAAGCGTGCTGAAGGCTCAGTGAGGTGCGGTCCGAGGAGGCTACCCCCAAAGAGAGAGAGCAGTCGTCACGGAAGGATGTCACACTGAAGGGGGTTACTCCCAGGGGCCGCATGGAGCTGACAGTTGCATAACTAATTCAGCTAAGGTGGTGGGGCCTGATTGGTGTGACACATATACCTCGGGGGGAGCGCCCTGGACCCCCACGTTCATCATTTCGATAGAACTGTGATACTGGATGTAAAACATGCCATGTGAGGTACGGTTCTAGCTCAGCGGTTCTCAACCCGTGGGTCGGGACGCCAAAGCAGGTTGCGACCCTGATTTAATGGGGTCCCCAGGGCTGGTGTTAGACTTGCTGGGGTCCAGGCCAAAGCCCATGCTTGAGGGCTTCAGCCCCAGGTAGCAGGGCTCAGGTTACAGACCCCCCCACCTGGGGCTGAAGCCCTTTGGCCCCCCTGTGCCAGGCAGCTGGGCTCGGCTGGGCTTACGCTTTGGTCCTCCTTCCTGGGGTCACGTAATAATTTCTGTTGCCAGGAGAGCGTCACGGTACAATGAAGCCTTGAGCCCCAGGAACAGGGTAAGGGGGGGGCGTGTTTCGCCCCGAGCCCCAGGAACGGGAAAGGGTAGGTGTCTAAATTAACCGGGTTACGCATTGAGCCCATGGAAGGGAAGGGTGGGTGCCCCAGAGTGTGTGGGTAACAGTGCCAAAGGGGCGACACAAGGATGCATTCAGAAGGAGGTGGACCGCACGCTGGAGGTGGGGGTGACTGAGTCGAAAAGCCCCAGGCGTCTCCAATGGTGAAGGTACCTAAAAGGCCTAAACCCATGAGCTTGTGTGTGGATTTTGGAAGGGTGAGCACCATCACCCAACCTGACCCGTAGCCCACACCCGCGATAACGGACCGTCTGGATCTAACGGGGGGTGCAAGATTCAGAAGCACTCTGGTTTTGACTCGAGTGTATTGGCAAATTCCCTCAGGGTGCTCCCAGGCAAAGCCAGCTTTCAGAGCGGAGTCCGGCCTGTAGGAGTTTAGGGTTAATTAATATGGGGGCCACCTTCCAGAGGCTTCTCAAGGAGGTGCTGCAGGGATCACAGACCTTCTCAAGGCCCTATGTAGACGACTTGACTGTTTAGTGACTCCTGGCCGATGTGGGAATTGTACTGCAGAGGCTCAGAGAAGCCAGGTGTCCACATGCAAGCCAGGGGCCACAGAGGTACCTCACCTAGGACACAGGGTGGGCAGTGGGCTTGGTTGCAAACATCTAGAGCAGGGGTCGGCAACCTTTCAGAAGTGGTGTGCCGAGTCTTCATTTATTCACTCTAATTTAAGGTTTCACGTGCCAGTCATACATTTTAACGTTTTTAGAAGGTCTCTTTCTATGAGTCTATAATCTAGAACTAAACTATTGTTGTATATAAAGTAAATAAGGTTTTTAAACAGTTTAAGAAGCTTCATTTAAAATTAAATTAAAATGCAGAGCCCCCCGGACCGGTGGCCAGGACCCAGGCAGTGTGATTGCCACTGAAAATCAGCTCACGTGCCGCCTTCGGCACACGTGCCATAGGTTGCCTACCCCTGACCTAGAAGATAATAAGGTGATAAGTAACAGTCACCATGGATTTGTCAAAAATAAATCCTGTCACACCAATCTGATAGCTTTCTTTGACAGGCTGACAAGCCTAGTGGATGGGGGGAAGCAGTAGATGTGGTATATTGTGACTTTAATGAAACTTTTGATACTGTCTCGCATGACCTTCTCATAAACAAACTAGGGAAATGCAACCTAGATGGAGCTACTATAAGGTGGGTGCAAAACTGGTTGGAAAACCGTTCCCAGAGAGTAGTTATCAGTGGTTCACAGTCATGCTGGAAGGGCATAACGAGTGGGGTCCTGCAGGGATCGGTTCTGAGTCCGGTTCTGTTCAATATCTTCATCAATGATTTAGATAATAGCATAGAGAGAACACTTATAAAGTTTGCAGATGATACCAAGCTGGGACGGGTTGCAAGTGCTTTTGAGGACAGGATTAAAATTCAGAATGATCTGGACAAACTGGAGAAATCATCTGAAGTCAATAGGATGAAATTCAATAAGGACAAATGCAAAGTACTCCACTTAGGAAGGACCAATCAGTTGCACACATACACAATGGGCAATGACTGCCGAGGAAGGAGTACTGCGGAAAGGGATCTGGGGGTCAGAGTGGACCACAAGCTAAATATGAGTCAACAGTGTAACGCTGTTGTAAAAAAAGCAAACAGCATTCTGGGAGGTATTAGCAGGGGTGTTGTAAGCAAGACACAAGGAATAATTCTTCCACTCTACTCCATGCTGATACGGCCTCAACTGGAGTTTTGTGGCCAGTTCTGGGCGCCACATTTCAGGAAGGATGTGGACAAATTGGAGAGAGACCAGAGAAGAACAACAAAAATGATTAAAGGTCTAGAAAACATGACCTATGAGGGAAGATTGAAAACACTGGGTGTGTTTCGTCTGGAGAAGAGAAGGCCGAGAGGGGACACGAGAACAGTTTTCAAGTATGTAAAAGGTTGTTACAAGGAGGAGGGAGAAAAATTGTTCTTGTTAACCTCTGAGGACAGGACAAGAAGCGAGGGGCTTAAATTGCAGCAAGGGAGGCTTAGGTTGGAGATTAGGTAAAACTTCCTGTCAGGGTGGTTAAGCACTGGAATAAATGCCCAGGGAGGTTGTGGAATCTCCATCATTGTCTAACCTGCTGTTAAAAATCTCCAAACACCTGTCAGGAATGGCCTAGATAATTCGTCCTGCCCCGAGGGCAGGGGACTGGACTAGACACCTCATGAGGTCCCTGCCAGTCCTGTGATTCTATGACCCTTTGAAGGTAGAGGCCATTCGGAGCTGGCCTGCCCCACAAACCAAGGCTCAGGTCCAATCCTTTACTGGTCTTGCCAGCTATTACCAGAGGTGTGTGAGGGGGTTTCGAGACAGTGTTCTCCCCCCGGAACAGAGCACTCACTGCCAATAGGTTGCACCGAACCAAAGGGACCACCCAGGCGGTTACGCTGGTGCTAAGCTCTGCAGCAGTCGGACGTGGAAAGAGGCCACACCAAGGGGAAACGAACTGTAGCGGCAGACAGGGGACGGGGAGCCTGGGGCATATTCAGGAGGGTCGGTGACGATGTGGGGTGTGATGGGGGCACAGCAGGTGCCAGCTCAGCCATGGTCCAGGGTCAGTCTGGTTCCGGGGGATCGTCCTGGGATAGCCCCAATGGCCATGCAGAGCCTGCTTCTCACAGGAACCTCTGTCACCTTTGAGAACTTGTGACTGGAACTCGTGTGTGTGTGGTCCAGTGTTACTTGGGGAGTAACGCCCTGCTTTCCTTCCCTGCTTAATAAACCGTAGCTGGCTTGTTGTAGGACTGGCTACAACGTTGTGTCTGGGGTGAGATCTGAGGTGCAGCTGACCTGGGGTGAGTGACTGGTCCTTTGGGACAGGGAGTAACCTGAATGTTGCTGTGATTTGGGGACAGACGAGCGCCCCAGGGGGCTGTCCGTGACTCCGGAGGAGCTGATATTCGATACTTGGTTGGTGAAATGCAAGTACAGAACTCACAGACAATTTGAGGTCTGGGCCCTGGCTCCGAACAGTCTGCCCTGAGGTTGGTACCCACGCTTAAGTCACTGCAGGACAGCTTGACACACAGGAGTCCTGGCTCCTAGTGCCCCCCATCCCCTGCTCTGACCCATTAGACCCCACTCCCATCCCAGAGCCTGGGAAAGAACCCAGGAGTCCTGGCTCCCAGCCCCCACACTCACTCTTGTTCTCTGTCTGCATCCGCTCATGTGTTTTCTGGATGTTGACTAGGTTGTGCTCGCTCCGCGACCGCTCCTCCTGGGGGCACAGAGGGAAGGGGATAAGGGGTGGTGGCCTGTGGCTCCCTGTCACAGAGAAGGGGTAGGTGGCCCCACGCCCCACCTCCAACCAAAGGAGATGGTTCCCCTAAGCCAACTCCCTTGTCCCAGAGTCCTCTGGGGCTGGCAGGGCTCCTCAGTCAATCCCAGAGAACAAGAAGGCATCCCACTTCTGGAAGCCCAGAGGATGATGGGAAGGCCCCTCAGGCCCGAGCTCCCACCAGCCCCAGGGCATGCTGGGAAGGCCCCCGGGGCCACGTTACCTGCGTCTGTTTGATGAGCTGGTGCAGCTCCCCGAGGAGCTCCGCGATGCGCGAATCAGCCGACACCAGAGCCATGGTGGCTACAGGGGAAGGAAAAGAATTAGTCACTGGAGTAGCCCCC